AGGAACTGAGGATCATAGATGTGGAGGGCACGGAGAAAGAGGGAGATAACACTTTTCTTGACAGGGGAAGCATGATAAGAAAAGTAGTGAATGTATATGCCACTGTGCATAGGTTTTCGGTAAACAGAAAAGGAAAAACCTGTATCTGAGCGGTGGACATGGACATCAAGGAAAGGAAGCAAGGAATTAGATTCTCATTCAGCTTTAAACTTAATGGAAGGGGCAAGATTATTAAGAGCTTCAAGAAAAGGTTGGAAGAGACTGGAGTCATGAGGCCACAGAGCAAAGATGTCATCCACATAGCGGAGCCAGAGTGAAGGTTGCACATCGATGGTAGGAAGAAGAACAGTCTCGAAGTATTCCATGTAGAGATTAGCAAGGACAGGAGAGGAGGGCCCATAGTGACACTGAAGGTTTGAGAATAATATTTCCCTTGGAAGGAAAAGGAGTTAAGAGTCCACACAGAGGCGGATAAGATCCAGAAAGACATCAGTAGGTATAGGGAGATGTAGAAACCCTTCATGGGCCTTCTCTCTAAGGAAATCAAGGACATCATCAAGAGGGACATTGGTGAAGAGGGACTCAACGTCAAGACTAAGCATCTTACAGGTTGGGAGAGAGCAAACCCGTTCAATGAAGTCTTGAGAGTGACGGAGGTGGGCAGGAGAAAAAGTACCAAGAAAGGGAGTGAGGGTTTTGGCCAACCAAGAAGCAAGAGAATAAGAGAGAGAACCTCTAGAGGATATGATAGGACGAAGAGGAATATCAGGTTTATGAGTTTTTGGGGAAAGGGCCCTAGAAATAGGGAAAAGAGAGGGACAGATGACACGAAACCGTTTAACAAGGTCAAAGTCAGGAGGACAGAGGTTGGAGAGAGTCCTTAGTTTCTTGTTGAAAGTTCTCTTGATGCGATCAAGAGGGAAACGAGAGGAGTGTAGGTACGTGAGTCAGAGAGCAAGACATCAGCTTTACGGAGGTAATCCTTGCGATCAAGGATAACTACCGAATTACCTTTGTCAGAAGATAGTATGACAATGTTAGTGTTGGATTTAAGAGAAGAAAGGGCAAGTTGGTAATGGCGTGGAAGGTGGTGTTTCTTACAAAACAGACTAACAAGAGCAGGAAGGAGAGCGCCACGAAAAGTGGACAAGTCAGGAAGATTATGGGAGCGAGATTGACAAAAGAAATCAAAAGAGCTATTCAGGGCAATACCAGTGCAATACCAGTGGCAAAGGAAAGACCAAAACCAAGAAGTTCAAGCTCATACTGAGAGAGTGTGACAGAAGACAGGTTAGTAACACAGTCCTATCATATCCTCTAGAGGTTCTGTCTCTTATTCTCTTCCTTCTTGGTTGGCCAAAACCCTCACTCCCTTTCTTGGTACTTTTTCTCCTGCCCACCTCCGTCACTCTCAAGACTTCATTGAACGGGTTTGCTCTCTCCCAACCTGTAAGATGCTTAGTCTTGACGTTGAGTCCCTCTTCACCAATGTCCCTCTTGATGATGTCCTTGATTTCCTTAGAGAGAAGGCCCATGAAGGGTTACTACATCTCCCTATACCTACTGATGTCTTTCTGGATCTTGTCTGCCTCTGTGTGGACTCTAACTCCTTTTCCTTCCAAGGGAAATATTATTCTCAAACCTTTGGTGTCACTATGGGCTCTCCTCTGTCTCCTGTCCTTGCTAATCTCTACATGGAATACTTCGAGACTGTTCTTCTTCCTACCATCGATGTGCAACCTTCACTCTGGCTCCGCTATGTGGATGACATCTTTGCTCTGTGGCCTCATGACTCCAGTCTCTTCCAACCTTTTCTTGAAGCTCTTAATAATCTTGCCCCTTCCATTAAGTTTAAAGCTGAATGAGAATCTAATTCCTTGCTTCCTTTCCTTGATGTCCATGTCCACCGCTCAGATACAGGTTTTTCCTTTTCTGTTTACCGAAAACCTATGCACAGTGGCATGTACATTCACTACTTTTCTTATCATGCTTCCCCTGTCAAGAAAAGTGTTATCTCCCTCTTTCTCCGTGCCCTCTGCATCTGTGATCCTCAGTTCCTTCCAGCAGAAATTTCCAATCTTCATAATTCGTTCTCCCGTCTTGGCTACCCTTCCCATTTCATAGACTCTGCCCTTTCATGTGCTAAACGTAATTTCTTCTCTCCCAAACTCTCTACTCCTGGGAACTCTTCTATCCTCTGCCTTCCCTACATTTCCGGTCTTTCTAATCTCAACAATTCTCTCCGTCCCCTAGACATCAAGCTTACCTTCCGCCAGACTAACACTCTTTGCACTAATCTCGTTCATACCTCTCCTCCCTCTACATATGTTCCTGGTGTCTACTCTATTTCTTGTTCCTCCTGTCCTCTTCAATACTTCGGAGAAACTGGTCAATCTCTTTCTGACAGACTCAGGGAGCACAAAAATAGTGTTAGGCTTTCCAACACTAACAATGCTCTTTTCTGTCACGTCAGAGATCATAACCATCCTATTGACTGGTCTTCTGCTAAAACTGTCTTCCCTACTTCCAACTCGAACAGTTGCCATTTAGTTGAATCCTCTCTAATACATAACTTTCCTTGTATGAATCTTAGTCCTGGCTTCGTCTCTGTAGATGCCTTCCTCTCCCACTACATTGTAAAATGCTCCAAACTTCAGAACACCCGTTACTTAACCTGACTCCTCATTTTTCCTTTTCTTTTTCTTCTTCTCCCTCTTCCCTTTCCTCTTTCCTTTTTCTCCTCTGGGTTGTCTTTCTCTCTTCTGTCTCGTGTTTCTGTTCCTTCTTCATTTATTTCACCACTTCCCATTCCATGCACCTCTGTGCCCTTGCTCTCCCTCTGTGGGCACCTAGCTCTATTGCAGTGCTCCCCTTCCTTTGTTTTGGACTGGCTCGTCCTCCTTATTCCCCACTTCTACCACTACCACTACCTCTTCTACTTCTACTACTACTACTGATGAAATTAAGACACATGTGCGGCATTTGGGTGTCTTTGTTGTTGACGTTTCGCCATCCAGTGGCTGGCTGGATGGCGAAACGTCTACGATGGGGATGCCCAGGTGTTGGGCATGTGTCTTAATTTCATCTTGTCGGTATTATATACCATTCTTGTACTACTACTACTACGACCACCACCTCTTCCTGCCTATATAAAGCCGTCCTGCTCCACTCCTGGTTAGTGACACTTTGTAAATGGTCGAAGTCGGACCGAAACGTCGTCATAAGCTTCTCTCTTTTATGTGCGGGTTATTTGTGTATCGTTCCAGTCACGGTATTGTGTCTTTTTTTGTTATTTAAGAGATCGATGCAAGAGAGAGTATGAGAGCAATGATCAAAATGGGTGAGAGTACCTGTATTTAAAACATGGAGGGGGTGAGAGGCGAGAAAAGCCTTCAACTGAATGCCATGGGAATCACAGTGAGACCCTCCCCAGAGGAAATTAAAATCGCCAAGTAACATTAGTGGTGGCGGTAAGGACGAAACAAGAAAGGCAACATCCAGGATAGATAATGTCCAAGAAGGAGAGAGATACAAAGAACAGACTGTATACCACTTATGCAAGTGGAAATTCATGGTAGAACTATTGTGAAATTACCACGAAGTAAAAGACAAATCTTGAAGAACAGTAGCGTAACAGTGCAAATGTGACATTCCTCAAGGGACACTTCTGCTTGAATCAAGACACCAACACGAGGTTTCATCCATGCCAAAAGCCAGGGATAAAGTTGTGGGTCCGATACAATACCCAGGCATGTCTAGCAAGTTATGAACCTAGTTAGGTAAGCTGCACAGCAAATAGCTAGTTCATGCCTTATCTGGAATTGCTGTTATTAACTCATCACTGAAGGGCCATTGAGCCAAAAAAGTAAGAAATCTTTTTCAGTATTAACATGAAATGTTGATATAATGCTCCTTTGGGGCAGTTATGTTTTTACAATTATTTAATTCCCACAGCCCAAGGGCAGTAACATTGACGGCTCCATAGAATGAATATTGAAATGGTATAAAATACCGACAGGTTGTTAGGTAAGACACATTTTTTTTATTTTTTTATTTATTGATTTGAACATGATACAGAGAAGTACAAGGAATACAATTTTTGAAGTGCAGCATGCCAAAGCCCCTCGTATGCTGAGCATTATGGGCAGGCTTAAAATTAACTTAAGATTAACTAAGCAATGATATATCCAGTGGTACAAAATTATTGTAAAACAGCTAACAATTTAGTACAAATGAGTATTACAAAGACAGGTCAAATGGTCATATGCAACAGTTAGGTATCTTTATTTCGAAACATTTCGCCTACACAGTAGGCTTCTTCAGTCGAGTACAGAAAAGTTGATAGAAGCAGAAGAGACTTGAAGACGATGTAATCAGTCTATCTGATACCCTTAAAGTTTTGAGGTGGTCAGTCCCTCAGTCTGGAGAAGAGTATTGTTCCATAGTCCGAAACAATATGGAGTTGAAGTGACAGTATGGAGCCTTATATACCACCAGGAAGTGAGATGAAGGCCACTAGTAGAGGTAAGAATGTGGTCGTTGGGAGGTCATGTCCCTCTCAAATCCAGCCATTTCGATGTTCACTCTGTCAGACACTGCAGCACAAGGGTATCTTGGTACAGAACAACAACTTGGACAACTTCAACTAGTGAGAATGGCTGGATATGAGAGAGACGTGACCTCCCAACAACCACATTCAACCCTCTACTAGTGGCCTTCATCTCACCTCCTAGCAGTATATAAGGCTCTATACTGTCACTTCAACTCCATATTGTTTCAGACTATAGAACAATACTCTTCTCCAGACTGAGGGACTGACCACCTCAAAACTGAAGGGTGATGGACCGATTACATCATCTTCAAGTCTCTTCTGCTTCTATCAACTTTTCTGTACTTGACTGAAGAAGCCAATTGTGTAGGCAAAACATTTTGAAATAAAGATACCTAACTGTTGCATATGTGTCTTACCTAACAGCTCCATAGAATGTTCCAGTGGCAGATGCAGGACACTGAGCTGTCGCAAGTAGCTTAGTACTGTTCATTGACTGGCTTCTCTTAAAGCTACCAATCCCTTGCAGAATATTTCACTTACCTGACTGAGTCGAAGATCAAAATGAATGGCTGGATATGAGAGGGATGTGACCTCCCAACGACCACATTCAACCCTCTACTAGTGGCCTTCATCTCACCTCCTGGCAGTATATAAGGCTCTATACTGTCACTTCAACTCCATATTGTTTCAGACTATAGAACAATACTCTTCTCCAGACTGAGGGACTGACCACCTCAAAACTGAAGGGTGATGGACCAATTACATCGTCTTCAAGTCTCTTCTGCTTCTATCAACCTTTCTGTACTCGACTGAAGAAGCCTATTGTGTAGGCAAAACATTTTGAAATACCTAACTGTTGCATATGTGTCTTACCTAACAGCTCCATAGAATGTTCCAGTGGCAGATGCAGGACACTGAGCTGTCGTAAGTAGCTTAGTACTGTTCATTTATTGGCTTCTCTTAAAGCTACCAATCCCTTGCAGAATATTTCACTTACCTGACTGAGTCGAAGATCAAAATGAATTTTTTATTAGAGAGCCACAGAATTTGGTTAACACAAGCCTATCTGATGTTATCCTGATGCCAAATGACTTCGAACAGGCAATAAATGACATGCCGATGCACTCTGCCCCAGGGCCAGACTCATGGAACTCCGTGTTCATCAAGAACTGCAAGAAGCCCCTATCACGAGCTTTTACCATCCTATGGAGAGGGAGCATGGACACTGGGGTCATCCAACAGTTACTAAAAACAACAGACATAGCCCCACTCCACAAAGGGGGCAGTAAAGCAATAGCAAAGAACTACAGACCGATAGCACTAACATCCCATCTCAGAAAAATCTTTGAAAGGGTCCTAAGAAGCAAGATCACCATCCATCTAGAAACCATCAATTACACAACCCACAGCAACATGGGTTTAGAACAGGTCGCTCCTGTCTGTCTGAACTATTGAATCACTACAAGGTTCTAGATGCACTAGAAGACAAAAAGAATGCAGTTGTAATATATACAGACTTTGCAAAAGCCTTCGACAAGTGTGACCATGGCGTAATAGCACACAAAATGCATGCTATAGGAATAACAGGAAAAGTTGGTAGATGGATCTATAATTTCCTCACAAACAGAACACAAAGAGTAGTCAACAGAGTAAAGTCTGAGGTGGCTACGGTGAAAAGCTCTGTTCCACAAGGCACAGTACTCACTTCCATCTTGTTTCCCATCCTCATTTCTGACATAGACAAGGATGTCAGCCACAGCACCGTTCTTCCTTTGCAGATGACACCCGACTCTGCATGACAGTGTCTTCCATTGCAGACACTGCAAGGCTCCAGGCAGACATCAACCAAATCTTTCAATGGGCTGCAGAAAACAATATGAAGTTCAACAATGAGAAATTTCAATTACTCAGATATGGTAAACACAAGGAAATTAAATCTTCATCAGAGTACAAAACAAATTCTGGCCACAAAATAGAGTGAAACACCAACGTCAAAGACCTGGGAGTGATCATGTCGAAGGATCTCACCTCCAAGGACCATAACATTGTATCAATCGCATCTGCTAGAAAAATGACAGGATGGATAATGAGAACCTTCAAAACTAGGGAGGCCAAGCCCATGATGACACTCTTCAGGTCACTTGTTCTATCTAGGCTGGAATATTGCTGCACACTAACAGCACCTTTCAAGGCAGGTGAAATTGCTGACCTAGAAAATGTACAGAGAACCTTCATGGCATGCATAATGGAGATAAAAAAACTCAATTACTGGGAGCGCTTGAAGTTCCTGAACCTGTATTCCCTGGAATGCAGGTGGGAGAGATACATGATTATATACACCTGGAAAATCCTAGAGGGACTAGTACCGAACTTGCACACGAAAATCACTCACAACAAAAGCAAAAGACTTGGCGGACAATGCAACATCCCCCCAATGAAAAGCAGGGGTGTCACTAGCATGTTAAGAGATGATACAATAAGTGTCAGGGGCCCGAGACTGCTCAACTGCCTCCCAGCATACATAAGGGGGATTACCAATAGACCCCTGGCAGTCTTCAAGCTGGCACTGGACAAGCACCTAAAGTCGGTACCTGACAAGCCAGGCTGTGGCTCATATGTTGGATTGTGTGCAGCCAGCAGTAACAGCCTGGTTGATCAGGCTCTGATCCACCAGGATGCCTGGTCACAGACCGTGCCGCGGGGGCGTTGAGCCCCGGAACTCTCTCCAGGTAAACTCCAGTGTTGTTCACTGAATATTTCACTGCAGAATTCTTGATTACTGCAGTAAGCAGATTACAGTCTTGACCTCACAGTATTTTCTATATATATTGTTTATACTCTATATTAGCTCTTCTGAATACACAAGACTGCTCTTTTTATAAAATATATAAGATATTCTGAACATTAATATAACTTATCTCCTCTATGAACTTATAAGATTCATATGACTGACATTTCATTAACATATTTCACTCTCAACACTGTTAGGGTATATCCATTTTATATATTCTGATGAGTTTATAACTAAAATATTTTTGAAGCATTAAACACTAATGTGTTTTATCTCCTGAATGTACTCGTGTATGTGTCACAAGACTGCTTTTTTTACTAAAACATTTCAAACACTCAGAACATTGATATGGTTTATCTCTTGTATGTACTCTCGTATGTGTCACAAGACTGCTTTTTTGACTAAAACACTTCAGACACTCGGAACATTGATATGGTTTATCTCTTGTATGTACTCTCGTATGTTTCACAAGACTGCCTTTTTGACTCAGAACATTGATATGGTTTATCTCCTGTATGTACTCTCGTATGTGTCACAAGATTGCATTTTTGACTAAAACATTTCAGACACTCAGAACATTGATATGGTTTATCTCCTGTATGCACTCTCATATGTGTCACAAGATCATTTTTTTCACTAAAACATTTCAGACACTCAGAACATTGATTTGGCTTATCTCTTGTATGCACTCTATTATGTGTCGTAAGATTTCTTTTTATACTAAAACATTTCAGACACTTTGAACACTGATATGGTTTATCTCCTGTATGTACTCTCATATGTAACACAAGACTGCTTTTTATACTAAAACATTTCAGACACTCTGAACACTGATATGGTTTATCTCCTGTATGTACTCTCATATGTAACACAAGACTGCGTTTTATACTAAAACATTTCAGACACTCTGAACAGTGATATGGTTTATCTCCTGTATGTACTCTTGTATGTTTCACAAGATAACTTTTTTCACTAAAACATTTCAGACACTCAGAACATTGATATGGTTTATCTCCTGTATGTACTCTCATATGTAACACAAGATTGCATTTTACACTAAAACATTTCAGACACTCAGAACACTGATATGGTTTATCTCCTGTATGTACTCTCATATGTGTCACAAGACTGCCTTTTTGACTAAAACATTTCTGACACTTAGAACATTGATATGGCTTATCTCCTGTATGTACTTTCATATGTGTCACAAGACTGCTTTTTATACTAAAACCTTTCAGACACTCTGAACACTGATATGGTTTATCTCCTGTATGTACTCTCATATGTGACACAAGACTGCTTTTTATACTAAAACATTTCAGACACTCTGAACACTGATATGGTTTATATCCTGTATGTACTCTCGTATGTTTGACAAGATATCTTTTTACACTAAAACATTTCAGACACTCAGAACATTGATATGGTTTATGTTCTTTACGTTTTTCCATATTTTTTTAAATGAAGCTATTTCATTTAAAAATTTTTAGTCATACAACAGTGGTACAGTTAATCTTCCTTATGTACTCACATGTCTATTTCAAGATTTTTAACTATTTTGGACACTAAACATCTGGTCTTCCTTATGAACATATTCCCATGTTAAGAATTATTTAGGCAAAACTTTTCCTACTTATGAACACTAATAAAGTTTACATTGTGTTAAAACACTATCATAATTTTTATTTTGCGTTAAAAGATTAATATATGTACTAGAAATTTGCAGATACACTCAACATTATTATTATTATTATTATTATTATTATTATTATTATTATTATTATTTGCTCTTGTGTTTAAACAGATTTTTCTAAAAAATTTTAATTACGAAATTGCTAACTTGTATTCTTTTATTAACCATTTGAGGGTTCAGACCCCAAATCTGAAAATTCCCCACAGGATCTAAAAAATATTATTTTTTTTCTTATGAAATTGTAGAGAATCTTTTTCTGAAGGTAATAAAATAAAAAGTACAAAATTTGATAAAGAACTGACAAAGTTGTGCTCCTGCAAATTTTACTGTGTCAGAGATATTTATGCATTGGCAATTTTTCCCATTTTGAATCCTGTTTTTGACCAATTAAATTATTCCACTAGACCAAATTCTTAGCTATTTTCTAGTATGTGTTCCATTTTATCTACTGAGCACATAAAATTGCCCAGATCAACTATTTCAACTTCCCAATAAAGTGATTGGAAATTGGTAATTTGGCCCATTTCACACAAAGTTCAAAATATTCCAATTTCAAAATAGGGCCCAGAATAATCTATGCAGGCATTCCTGGCACTAAACTAACATTTTTTCTATTTATTAGTAACATTCCCAGGCTTTACAGATGAATTTCATTTTGATTTTTTAATCACACCAAAAAATAAAAGATTTTTATACAATATTGTAATAATTGTATAAATAATATCAGCGCATTCCGCAATACACTTCAGACCCACCAGCTGATGTGTATTGGACACGTGATGTGATTTGTTTACCCACTAACATAGGCAAAAATAGAACATTTCTACTATTCTGAACTCAATTTCAAGCTATTTTCAGTATTAAAATCCATCAAAATAATTTCTGTAATACATCTTCTATTCTATCAAATGACACCAAGAAACAGTGAATGCTACTAAAAAAACATATGAAAATACACTGAAAATTTGCTGTTTTAATCTAAAAACACAGTCACAGTTTTTTTTTCTCATTATGCACCGTGTGCAGCAGGATTTGTTTTACATGGTGCACACTTACCACATAGATGCATTCTCTCATATATAGGCCCAAATTTACTGCTCACAGCTTATTTGAGTAAGATGAGTTTATGATGTAGTACTACAGCTTAGACCCTGACTTTAAAGTCGTAGAACTAGAAAACAGACCCTCAAAGAATTAACTGCCATGCAAAAGCATAATTATTTAATTAGTAATAGCTAGTTAAAAATTTACAAGAACAGCTGTTGCCTTTCTTGAAGTACTGAAGATAGTGTCAGGCAAGATACAACCTGGTAGTCTTCCACAAAATACTTCTGCAATATCAGTTGTTGTTCAAGACACTTACACTGGTGCTTCTTGAAGTACTGAAAATATAGTGTCTGGCAAGACACAACCTGGTAGTCTTCCATAAAATACTTCTGCAATAGAAACATGAGTCAGTATAGTATAATATTTTACAATTACCAACACAACATACTCAAACTACAAAAAAATTTCTTTTTCTCTATTGTTACATGGTTTCACTAAAAATTGTCACTTAACCATTAACAAAGGCGTCAAGGTTGCTGCTCAGCGCTCTCACGAAAAAATCGAAAAATTATGGAAATTGAGTTATTCATACAGAAAAATAGCTTAACTCTTTGGCAACACAGCAGTGCAAGAATCAATGTTCTACGATGTTTCATTTATATCAGGTATGGTGACGGTGATGTGGGTAGCGAGTCTGTTCACAGCCCATATATTTTTTGGAATTTTTTCCTTGTTTTTTATCGCTTTTTCTTGCATTATTCTTTCTAATATAATAATTGATTATTTGGCATCATATAAGAGTAGGTGGAGCTTATCAGTAGAGTGCCAGCCAATCAGGAAGCACCTGGGAACACTCGGCAGTATTTCCGCTCCAGAGAGTGCCAGGTGAAATCACAAATTATTACGCTTATATCAGCTTATATATCAACTCTATGGCTTATTAATCTATCAGAATTGATCTAATATGATATAATATACACTATAAATAACATACAAACATGTAATATATTCTAGACTGAATAAAATAGGCCATAATATGGCGAGAGTCCACCAGGAATATTTCAATATAAATGAGTTACTCCTCGTCTCCATGTTGTATTGTTTGGTCTGAGTGATAGAAAGCGGTGTTTTGAAGAGGATAACTGCACTAGAACATCAGTTTACTTAGAAAACCACTGAAACAAACTCAATTTTCACGAAAAAACATTTTTTTTTTGAGATGGCGGGCCGGCCGGCATTCCAGGCCTATATCTCAGAAGTAACTTTTTCACTTATTTCGCTGTACTACACCATTATTAATGATTGTATTGAAATGTTTTCACAGACAATATACAACAAAGTGTGTTTGACTAGTTGTTGCTTCGTTTTTTGGAATATATCAAATATTTTTTATTTTGTGGTAGGTAAAAGGCAGATATTTTGGTGAATGCCAAAAAGTCTATCAAATGTATTTTTTTTACCATGATATTAAGATATATTAGATGAAAGAAGTGCATCCAAAATTATTATTATTATTATTATTATAATCAAGGGGGAAGCGCTAAACCCGGAGGATTATACAGCACCTGGGGGGGGGATGTGGGAGGCATTCAGGCTTAATTCAGGGAACTGGAGCACAGATCCAATTCCCTAAATCAAGAGCCCCTCACCAACATCAAGGAACCTTCCTTGAGGGGAGTGCATCCAAAAGTCATGTTAAACGTATTCTAAGGGTTGGGATTGTCGGAAGTGCCACTCGTAGTGCCAATTTGTCACGTCATACTGCAATATATGAAAAGTCATTAAATATTTTTTTCTCTGTTGTTTGTTGGCCAATCATACTGAAACTGTCACATTCTTCTACATATGCACCTCTAAACGTACACCAAAAATAAAAAAAATCGGTTGAAAAACAAAGAAGTTGGCCGAAATTGCCAGGATCCCACCTTAAGGGAGCTAGTCACTCTTTGCCCTCTACTATCTCTCCTTGTTTGTTGATCAACTGATTTGCCATTACTAGCAACTTTATTTTGAATATTGTCTTTTAAACACATCCCTGAGGTATCCCAGTAATAACTGCTGTTTTTAACCCTAATGCTGCACCTGATTTTTTCCCATAAACAACCAAACCTCAATAATCTATCAGTTTAAATTCATAGACAAGTCATCAATTACCCTCTCAGTTGAATTGGCTAATGCAACCACTCCATCCCCAGAGAGATTAACCCCATCTACTTCTATGGTTAACTTGTACTTATCCAGCAGCTCCTGTCCCCTGCCCTTCCCAATGTCATTACCCCCAGCACTAAGACAGAAAGTGGGCTTGTTCCCATTACCTGCCATAATATTATCCAACCTGCTGACTATGTCACCAACACCGGCTCCAGGAAGGCACACTCTCGGTCTGACCTTTCTGTCTCTGTTACAAAATGCACGGTCCATATATCTTACCTGAGAACCACCTACTATTAAAATATTCTTACCTTGATCAACAGGGAAATCTGTGGTACCTTCATCCTCACTAACCACTGAAGTACACTCATCTTGGAGAACAGAGAATCGATTTCCTACCTTCATATCTTCTCTAAGAACTCTCCTCATCTTCCTTCTTCCTGAATTGTGAACCACTTGCCACTTAAAGCGGCTGCCACTCTCACTGGTGGTGACCATTTCCTCATTACCAACTAAATCCTTCTCACACTCACTCCCAAACTCATCTAGGCGAAGCTTCAGTGCCTCCTATTTTCCTCCTGAAGAAGGTTTAGTGTTTGGAATATTGGTGGAGTGTGCTGCCTGTAGTGGGAATTTGTTATCATTCTGACTGCAGCCTTTTGTTGGGTAATTAGTGGTCTGAGATGGTAAATTGTTGTTGAGCCCCATGCACAAATTCCATAGGTAAGACAGGGGTAAATAAGAGAGTGATATAGGGCCAGGAGGGCTGACTGTGGAACATAGTACCGTATCTTCGATAGTATGCCTACAGTCTTGGAAATTTTCTTAGAAATTTGTTGTATATGAGTATGAAATTTGAGTGTATTATCAAGGTGGATTCCTAAGAATTTTCCCTCTGTTAGCTTTGTGATAGGTGATCCGTTTATCATTATGTTAAGAGGGACATCTGTAGCTCTGTTACCAAACTGAATGAAGTAGGTTTTGTCAATGTTGAGTGCAAGTTTGTTAGTCCTCATCCAGGTAGATATTTTCTGTAATTCGGTATTTACAGTATTGGCTAGCATGACTGGGCTTGGGTGAGAGAAGACGTATGTAGTGTCATCTGCAAATAGTGTGGGTTTGAGTAATTGTGAAGAATTTGGTAGGTCATTTACGTATAGGAGAAAGAGAAGAGGGCCAAGGACACTTCCCTGTGGGACACCAACTGTAATTGGTTGTGCGGAAGAGTTTGCCCCATTTGTGTACACATATTGGCTTCTGTTGCTGAGGTATGACTTTAGGTAGTTGAGGGAGTGCCCTCTTATACCATAGTGTGACAATTTTACGTGGAGCAAGTCATGGTCAACTGTATCAAAAGCTTTACGTAAGTCAATTAAAAGTCCCCAGTGGGACTTCGTTTTTTTCTATTGCATTGTATAATTTCTACATGTGTATAATAGCATCATTATTTTTTTTAGGCCTGAACCCAAAAATTGGGGCGGGGGGTTGAGTAGTTTTGGGAGAGAGGGTAGGAGTAGATTTGTTTTGTTAATTTTTTTCAATTTTTTGAGGGGGAGGTGTAAGTTGGTATTGGCCTATTTTTATTCAACTCTTTTTGGGTCTCCTTTGGGATGGGGGTGACCTTTGCTATTTTTGGAACTTTGGGAAGGTGAGGATTAAAATGGTTTTTTAAGGGGTGTTGAAATTTTTTGGTGATAGCACTTGGACATTTTTTTTTGTATAAAAGGTGGTAAGGTATTTAAATCCCCTGCCTTGTTTTTATGTTTGATAAAAAGGGAGACTTCGTAAGGGTTAGTGGGAGTAGAAACAGTGGGGGGGTAGTTGCCAGTGAGGTAGTCATTTGGTGGGGTATCTAGCTTGGGGGTTTTTTTGGGAAGGTTTTGTCCCAACGGAGAAGAAACATTTATCTGTTTGCTGTTTCTTTGGGGGAGTTGGGGGTTTATCAGATTTTGCTAATTTTTTTTGCTTTTTCGTGAACTTTTTTTTTTCCTAGAAAAATTTTTGATGGGTTTTTCAGGGTTTTTTTTATATACCTGTAAATTGGAACTGTTTCATAATCAAATTTTTTTTTCCCTTCTTATCAGGCTGGTTAGGATTGCAGTAACGTTTTGTTTGGTCTCGGTTATGTGACCCCTTCTGTACTGTTTTTCAAAGGTGTTTTGTATTTTGGGTTTAGAATGTGGGTGTTAGCCCGGGGCTGTTCAGTTTTAGCTGTCATTGTTTAGTTTTTTTACAGCAGTGCTTGTTTTAGGGGGTTAATTCTTAATAACAAATACCCCTTTTCTGAATGCACGCAACACTGTAAATAACCAATTTACCTGTCTTTGAAATATTTTATTTTTCGCTTAATTTTTTATCTGCTTCAATAAAAGTTTTACCACTGAAACACCTACCTTCCCACTTACGACCCCGCTCGCATACGTCCACTTGCTTGATCGTGCCGGGGCTGGGGTGGGCCGGCTGTGCCCCACCCCGTACAAATTTTAAAGGTACTCTGGGGGGAATGGATGCAGGTTTTAAACTTTTTAGAACCCTGCCCTATTAGCAGCACTACTGAATTTAAATGGGGCAGTAAAATTTTACCCTGGCCCCTAAGATGAAAATCTGATCTTGCACTTCGAGAATGTCAAGAAAGACTCTTACTCTCGAACTCTCATTTGTTTTCACTGTTGCACATAAACCTGCCTGTACTGTTGCCTGTATATCTGTGTCTGTCTGTATCTCTGTGTCTGTTTATCTGTCTTTCTGTCTACCGTACTCCCCTAGTTGAGGTTGTGGGGGTTGAGTCTGAGCTCCGGGCCCCGCCTTTTCCCACTGATCTGTTTACCTGTGTGTTTTGTCTACCTGTGTGTCTGTCTACCTGCGTGTTTGTCTTTCTGTCATCTGTGTGTCTGTCTTTATGTCTATCTGTGTGTCTGCCTTTCTGCTACCTGTGTGTCTATTACTCACTAGTTCCCTCACCTAGTTGAGTTGCAGGGGTCGGGGTCCAAGCTCCTGGCCCTGCCTCTTCACTGGTTGCTACTAGGTCACTCTCCCTAAACCCCATGAGCTTTATCATACCTTTGCTTAAAGTTTATGTATGGATCCTACCTCCATACATCGCTTCCCAAACTTTTTATACCACTTCCTGACTACTCTGTGGCTAAAGAAATACTTCCTAACATTCCCGTGATTTCATCGGTCTTCAACTTCCAACTGTGGGCCCCTTGGGTTT